TTTAATAATATTGTTTTCGAGATGACACTCTATCGGTATCGCCACAGCACGAGCTGCGCCTTGTGGCGCAATTTTTCTATCGCCAATATCGCTATAACGAATAAAACTTCATCATGGATTGCCCATCGAACACTACCACTATCGTTATTTCTGCAGTTGAAAACCACTTCGACTAACTAAACTATCTTATCAAATGGATTTGACGATATAACCACATCAAAATCGGCTGTGCCAGCTCCGCAACATTCTCGCCTATTTTCAACGCACCGCCGATCATCAATCGCTTTAAAAGCCAACGTTCGCGGCAATCTGAAAGATTGTACCATGACGATTAATATATTATCGATAAGCAACTGCAAGTTAAAACGCCTTTTCCGATCAAGTTTCGATTTCTTTTGGTATTTCGAGTTTCGTCCTGCCGTAGTTCGGTGAATTCCTCTGCTAAATCATCTCAGAATTAATGCCATGCCGCGCCGAAACAAATTATGTTTATATCTATCACATTTTCGCCATACCAGTTTACGGACATGCGCAAAATGAGCAGATGTAAGACTATTGCAAGTTTAATGGAGCCGCGTCCATGCCAATCCACGGCAAACCGGCCATGAATTCGCCCGATGTCGCCAATACGTGGTGCCAGTTTGTGATAAAGTTTATTTGCACACCGCTGATGCGTGAAATATGAAGCAAGGCGTCGCCGTACGTTACGCCGGTTAAATCGCCGGGGAAAATGCCCCCAGCCAGCAGCGGTTCTTCGACAATTTCGACGACCCGTGCCTGGTAAATCACAATATTGGCTGGTCATCATAGGAGTATCACGCTCGAGTTCGCCATGCCCTACCCAAATGTCAAAGCGTAAAAGTTTCTTTCGCGTGAAGCCGTTCATTCGTACCCCGTGAATGTTATCAGAAAATGAATATGCTAAGCTCAGCGTTTAATGAAACGGGCGAAAACATGTGACATCATTCTTAAAGTCACTTCCAGATATCGACGACCCTCGTTTCGCCTTTTAATATGAACATTCGATAATTAGTCATGTCATTGTCGTGATTCAAAAAATGAAGACAGTGCCATACAACAAAAACCATTTTACCGGGACGCTGTTTCGTTTTCACCCCTGGTCATAGTTTCGATTTGATTTTATCAATTCGTTATCAAAATTCACTTCATTTCAGTTCAAACCTGTTATGAACCGGTGATGGCATTTTCGCCATGTTGAAATACGATGAAATAGCGTGTCATGCAAGTTTTCGTAATGCGACGCAGTATTATCATATAACATTTCGCGTGCTCGGGTTTAAATGACCAAATGACTCAGTTTCTATTGTGGACGTCAAGCTTTGTTTGATGGTTCTCGTCGGTCACGAAAAACAAGATATGTAAGTTCAGCAATAAAGTTTCACTAACATTTTATACTGGTGCTCAACGTTTGTTTGGGTGACAATAATATCAGTTACGATACCGTCACGGCCGCTATCAAAGTCGGAATGGTCATCGCCGTTAACGGTACCATTGAAGCCCCTTCCGTGGGTCGGTCGACAACATCATCATTATCGTTCGAAAATAGAAGTTGCTAAATATAGCTTTTATCAGTCTCAGCGCAGTTCTGGTCAGCAAACGTACCAGTAGATATCACAGCACTGAACACGACATGGTTAACGCAAAATGCATTTGAGTACCCGCATTATTGAATTAACAAATCATTAATTAATATACCGCTATTCATATCGTTATCAACTTTGTCGTTCTGCTGACAGTTTATCATTGCTGTCATTTCCCTTTCATGTAAATTAGAATATTTGTGTTTGTTTAATTTGTTATTTATTTTCAAATACATTTGTTATGCCATGTTATTTGTGACTATTCCAAATTAAAAACTATTTTCACATTAGCCCGCCCATATTCTCTTGTGAAATTGTTACATCAACAGTTTCTAACAAATATCAATACTGACATGCAACAGTTTCACCTGGAATAAAGCCACAAAATATTCAATAGAAAGATAATTGACATGCAATGCATGTATAACATTTCAAGACATCATTGTAAAGTCTGCTGGTAATAATACTTTACCAATTTCAAGTTCAGCGGGTGCTCAAAGACAGAATGATTCAAAGATACAAAGAAAGCAAATACGTAATGGCAATTCTGAAGAAAAATGCATTAAGATGATTAGATCATTTTGCCATGCCAAAAATACAGCCGATTAATGATATATTGAATACAGATTGGGGATGGTCTTCTATTACCGAGTCATTTCGAATTTAGAATATCTGTATTGAACCGTAAATTTTAATGTAAGCATTTTCTTACCTATCGCGCAAAATGGCCTCGTCTTTTCCCGTGCTCCGAATAAATAGCATTCTGTAACATTACAGGCTTTTTATAAATATATAACCTTCCATTTATGCAGAATATTTTATGTCTTCATCATAAAGAAAGTCATAATGAAATCAACAACAGCCGACAAAAATAAGGTTCTAAGACGGTTGCCATTATTCTCGTTGATTACCGTCAGATATTCAAAACAAAACCAACATAGTACAACATTATCATGAAACAATATTTATCAAATTATGTAAACATTATGCCTTTTGTGAGGTAAAACCCGGTTGCCGATCAATATTTGTCATTATCTGCTCAGATGTTCAGAGCAAGTAACCATGTAACATGATCCAGCATGAGCGTTTCGCTCCTGGAGCGTAGGCGAGAACGCCGCTGTGTCATGAGCGTTAACACAAAGCACTTTCAAGTCACAATATAAAATGCAAGATCAATCAAAATACGAGTAACACCTGGAAGACATTTCCCTGGTATTGCGTAACATACCGATCAACATTGATGGGGAAAATCTAAATGTGCTATTGGTATAATATGTCATGACAGATTTTCGCAGAGCCGGTTTATACGAGCATGACATTCGTCATGTAACATAAAGTTTTCACCATTGTAACTTCGATATGTTATTCAACATTAATGAGGCCGTTACATTCCATATTTCCAATTATTAAAGTTGGTGATCAACATGCCACGAAAAGAATAATGCGTACCGGTTGTCGTTACAAACCGCGCGTAGTTCAAGCGTCAAAACAAAGAATTTCATATTTTCAGCAAAATGGGTGAACACATGCCCATGCCATTGCCAGTTTCAACTTTTCATTAAAATTACGGAAACCGGAGCAGTAACTCAGTGGTGCCGACACCTGCCGATAGCCGGTGATGCGTGCAGTATCGTTTTCCTACGATGCCGCCGGTAAAACTGGCCTGAAACTCGTTCGAAAATTCACCTTCATTATTCATGCCGTAATACGTCAACGCAGAAATTTTCTTCAAAATTCGTTTATCCAATACCTCAAAACACAATAAACAAGTTTCAGATCTATTATTCAAACATCATAACATCAAACATTTTTCCCAGACGCTAAACCCGAAAAATACTGTAACAGTATTCATTCGGAATAATAAACAATTTTTCATGGTTCAATACCACCGAATTATTCGCGAAAGATGTCACAAGATTTCGTTGGTTACAAGCATTTCTCGTTCGTGCAAGTGTCCAAAGGATGATGTAGGCTTTTTAACATGTTTTATACCGTAGCAGCCAACACTAATGACCGTTGCTCGATTTGCAATGGTTGCTTTTGACTTCAGTTCGAAGAACACCAGCTTCAAAGCCGTCAATGGTATTGCGGCGACAAAGAACATTCTTCCTTTCTGTTAGTGCATCTACCTAACTGAAAGAGACTATTAACCGTTGATTCAACCGCAAAGATACTTGAGTTTATTGAACACAGTTTCTGTCAATATTTAGTACGATGCTTCAAAACACACGTTATTGGTCGGGTCGCAATTCAAATGACTACTGTTCGATATCGACATAAAACAATCACCAATTTCATTGTAGTAGCCATTGCCAAAGTTTTAACGAAAACAAAGAAACCATGCACAACTTCAATTTATTCAATGTCAGCTCGAAGCAGACAACTTCAGCATTCGTTGGCAATACCACGCAGCAGCCGCAACATTAAATTAGTGTTTGAAGAAATTCATGTTCGCCAGCGACATAGATTATTCGTTATCGGCATGTAAAGAGCAGTTATCGTTTGTTGAAAGTACCAACAACGCAGACTAATTCGAAAGCCGCACTACTACTGCCCTATAGGTTTGTTTTCGGCGTAAATGTGTTGCGAAATCCTTACTGAAAATGATAATGTCGAAACCTCTAATGGGGATCAGATTGAAATAGGAAATAATTCACCTTTTACCTTCTCAATACCGTAGTTTCGTCCTGTTAAAAGCAGTTATCACATTTCAACCGCAGCCTTAATGAAATTTGAGCAAATTCCTCGTACGCACCAGAGATCTCGCCATTGAAAAACTTTATTGTTGGCGAATGAAGGTTATATCGCCATTTCTTCGATATAGATATAACAGGCGCGTATCGTTCACGGCAGAGTGCGACATTGCCTCAGAGCGTTTCATCACAATTTAATCATCGCGGACGCCATGGGTGCCGATTGCGGGCCCATCTTTCGTTTCTGGCAAGCCGATTCTTCAGGCAAGCCATGTTCATTAATGTCAAAGATGGTCCTTCGCTCACGCATCCGGGTTATTAAACCATGTTGTTTAGAAGAGCGATTGACATTGCAGTCTCCTCGCATCGTTGTACCATGCCAGTTTATTCATACCGGAATATTATATGTTAAACAACTACAAAGCACCAGTTTCGTTTTAACCTCGATAACACGCCATCCCCTTGATATGGAAAATGACGAGTGGGAGCGTCGCTTTCAGAAGAACCTCTACCAGACCGCGTATCAACAACCCATTCAAGTCCTTATTGAACAATGAAATCATTATTAATATGTTTCACAGATTATAGATGAAAATGCAGCAGATAGTTGGTGATTCGGCACAGTCAATGGTAAGGTCGTCTGGCAGAGAAGCGTATTCTCCTGCGGTTCGACGCTGTCGAACTCACCAACAAATTTCCGGAGAACATGGAGGCCTTCAACACTGGTGCCTCTTGGCATTACCCAGAGCAACAGAAGAAAGCAGCCTACTTCGACGGCACAAGAGCATCGTGAGAAAACAAATCATACGAGAACAGTTTTCCGACTAGTACGACGCAAGAGCATTAAAGGTATGTCCATCATGTGGCTCGAATTCATACCACATTATCATTATTAACTTAAGGATCGGTAAGCGCATCGTCAAGACTGGTGAAAACAGGACAAATATACAGACCGACCATCCCGGCACACTCGTCAGACCCCACATTTGCCCTTTTGCGCCCCGGTTTCAAGCACATCCCGATCTCAACGCAGACTGGCAGGTACCAGTTTCACATACGACCATTGGCGTTTCGCACCCTTTTACATGAATTAGCAAAAACTACCAAGTGAAGCACATTTCACCGAAACGTAGAATGCCGTCGATATGCAACAGATATTGTGTAGAAACATCAAAGTATTCGGTAAATTGCGTATGTCTTCTCCAGTTCTCACGGAGGTAAATAAGCAGATTGACAATGCGGATGTAAATATTGCACATCTGCAGGAAGTTTGAACATACCGAACGCCAAATTATATGGTGTACGGAGAATTACAGAGTGACATTCACATACTAATATGCGACTCGCTGCGGCAGTATTTATCTTTGACCAGTTCAATGATATTAACCACATTGTAAAAGCAGCCGAAATTATTGTAACTTCAAAGCCGGTTCACGTTCAGAAGGACACGCTTACAGAAACTGCGTCTGGCAAAGTTAGCAGCTTAGGACGGTTTGTAATAAATACGTTATAACACAACAACAAAATAGTCCGCATGAAACGCTTCAGAAATAGCGGTCGAAAGTGGCGTGACGCATGACATACTTCATCACGGAAGAACTTCGTTTTTTGTCACTTAACTATTACGAAAGATTTGTAAGCTGTCGGAACAATCAAATTAAAACTTGCGTTAATTGTTTGTTTAGTGTCAGCCTTCCGAAAAACCACGTTACGTAACTTCCGCGTTCTAAGTATCGTCATATGCGAACGATTTCAGTTACGAAATGTGTATAACGCTCATTATTTTGATGATTTCGATGACATACCGAATGTTATTTGTTCACGCACGACAAGGCTTGTGAGCGGTTGTGAAGGAAACATATCTGTTTCGTGTTCAGATCACACCGAAGTTAAAGAATCAAAACTACTATTTCATTGCTGTAAACATGCATATGACATGACCATAAACATTTCTTATGACACAACTTTAACATAACGATTTCTCGAAGGTCGGTAAGTAAGTATTATACACTGCCGCCACTTAAAATTCGTTATGTTATAATGCCGTCATGCAAATTTACTGGCCATCAGAATAAAACACATATTTTACCACCAGCAGAAAGCAGTTTTCGATTTGTAACCGGCAAAAATGTCACCATTTGTTCTTTCAGATGATGATGTTCTATTGGGCGCCGCCATTTTTTTAAAATAAAAATTCGTTAGAATTAATGAGATTATAGCTTGCCTTTCATCGCCAGATAAATCAAGACCACTTTCACCGTAGTTAAATATGTATTGAATCAAAACAGTTCGATTTGCAGATGACACAACTTAACATAACGATTTCCCAATTTGTTGCGTATAAGTTCTGGCGGTTATCGAAGCTCGATAAATTTTCACCATCCATAGTTCACGACATCATACGTGTCATATTCGCGTTCATACAATTAGTTTGTCTATCATATTACGCATTTCGAAAACTACACACAGCAGACGATTCGCCGGTACATAGCGAATTATAAGAATCGTAATATCTGCGACATTTTATGTAAGCCACGCCAATATCATATCATAATTGTCACTAAGCTGCCACCATTACGAAAACAACGAATCTGTTGAATGCCACGACAAATGAATAAAAAAAACGCAAATATTGTAATCAAAACAGATTAAAGTTATGAACAGTCACCACGAGAATACCATCATTCAATAAAATCGTACCAATGAATGCTCCTTCTTTAACTGTTCAATATATGAAAAGCGATTAATCTTTCAGGTATTGGCGTAGAAGTTCATTGGTCACCACATCAAGCACCAATTATACCGCACGCCTTTCTTAAAACAGTAATTTAGCCAGCCAATAATGGGAATCAATCACGCTTGAAAGAAGCGACGTTGTTATGCGCAGACACGACACCAGTAGCAGATTGGGCAAATCTGCTGATACATTAACACTGGCCTTTCGATACCCCGCTGCCAAAGATGCATAATCAATCAGCGTGATCGAGCACGTCAATCTCGATCTGCGTTTCAAAGCCGTATTTACCCAGACAATAACTTGTCGGGCATCTATGTTAACACTAATTATACCGTTATAAATTCATTAACCGATCATCGTTAATGATGACAAATAACATGCGTTTACCTAACGACGGTTGGGTATCGAAGGAGTATTAATACGTATTGGCATAAAAACTATGAGCGACAGCCGTTTTGAAGTTCTTGTTATGATACGACGAGGTAAAACGAATAGTAAAACATCGAGCCATCGGGGCAATAGGTGCCTAATGACATTATCGATTTTTGACAAATGTCTATGAAAATAAGCAACCGAAGACAAAATAACGACAGTAGATTGCAGCAACGATATAGCTTCAATAACACTGTTCACGATTTCGTGTTTATACGTCGTACCATTGGCGTTTAACTCAAATGGGGCCGACAAGCCCTCGTTATTCCTTCATATGAGTTTATTGGTTTAATTTCGTTCAAACCAAAAAGCAAACGATTCCGTCACCAAAGCTAAATGAAATGAAAGCAAGTTTTGACGACGCAAGTTCTGACGGCCAGTTAAGATTTATGCATAGCCCCTGGCGTATCTTTAAGCAACAAAGCAAGTATCTTTGAGCCACAAAGAGCTCATTAACCCGGTGAAAATTCCGGCTGAATTGAGGCAATTAGACGAGTGAACAATGACTCGCCGATTTATGCCACAGTATTCTATTTGCGCCGATTCACGCATTCATTTCAGTCGAAATTGTTATTATTGCGAGATGCAGCCAAACACGCAGATTCACCATTCTTCAGCGTGACCGATAACGTGGTAGACACTACCGTTTCAGTTACGCATACGCATTTCGATAATATTTTCAGTTAATCAATACTATAATAATAGTCCGCTTGATGGCGTCATTGTTCTATGCCACGCAATATTACCGTTCCTCGGTCATAGACCATCGTATCGATTACCGGGGAACATGCCGTTAAAGAAGCATTAAACACCACATTGTCAACATTGTATAAATAAGACCGACAATGCGGACTAAGTATTCCGGGATGAAGACCCTATCCAAATAAAAGTTCATCTTCGAGACTTGATTAGAAGACGCCTTTCCATTATATCCATCACCGAATTATTGCCCGATATTACGGTGACCGATTACGTAAAAGAAGTCAGAAATAACAGAAGTGCGGGCGTTCGCCTAACGTTATCAAACGCGACATCGCGAAAAGTTCAAACAGCACCGTTAGATCAACTCATAAAACAAAGCCGTTATCACCGGAAATTACCAGTAACGATATCGACATTGCGACATTAACTTCGAAAGCATCCTTATAGAAAACGATTGCTCGTCTTCGCCGACATCACCGTAGATGTTCCGGAGTTTCGACCCCCGGAAGTGATACCCGTTATGATCAATTTTCAGACGGTGTTCGGTGACTTGCGAACAGAAGTTAACGATGTGAAACATAAACGCGTCCGCGAACACAGAACACGAATAACTTCGGCGCAGCATGGAATATGCGAATAGAATAGCATTTGAATCAATTTACAAACCAAACATGGTATGGTGCCAGCCAGACGTAAAACTGCCGAAATACGATCGGCGAAAAACGTTGAATGGCATTACATATAATCGATGCGCATCAACATACTATCAGATATAAACATCGCGTAAAATGCCGACCAGTATATTTTAAAGCGAAATGCACTCGCCATCAGTTCATACGATGCCGTTCACTTCATCGTCGACAGAATCGAAAAGGATATTAAACAAAACAAAGCTGTCGCCAGCAGAATTCCCGGAAATTAATCAATAATTGTTAACATACAGCGTTTCGCACAGCATTTATTGACTTTGAGCCGCAAGTATAACGCAAAATTCGACAAAAAACGAATATATAACAGTTAGCTTCAAATTCCAGTCGTTACGACTCGATGAACGGTGAATAGTGTTTCCGGCGGGTTGGTCGTTTATCGTTCACGACGATCGTTCGATTCTGATTATTAAAACATTACAACCAAGCCGGAACAGTTTAAATGACGTTTAGAGGAACCATGTATGAACGAAATTGTATCTCGGTGTTCGTCTTTGCAGAAATGAATTTACCGGTTGGTTGTCCGTTCGGTTTCATCAAAAGACATGTTTTGCAAGATACGCGAAGTCGGCGGTAGCATGACATATATAAATAATTTGTTACCATTGAAATATAATCTTCATGCCTTCCGGTTCCGAGCAAAGTATTTAGAAATGATATTTTCATCCGCGACGGAATAACATATAAACATATACATATTACATAATACATACATACATACATATATTTAAGCTACTATTCTCAGTAATCAGAGAATTCACGAAATACAACAATTGACATCAGCAGCCATCCGCCCAGCCGAGCCGATCGGAAAATATCAATCAGACGTACGGATCATCAAACTCAATGATGATACCGTACGTTAATTAATAGGCAATAATCTAAAGATATTATGATCGATAATACGGCGACCCGGTACATCGGTTTTAAAAAATCGATTATGGTTTCGAATCATTTATTAAACATGTTCAACACAGCGAGTGCGTAGTCAATATGACGAAGTCACCAATACGTTTAGGAAAGCTCAGAAACGATGACCAGTAAACACAGTCAGAGGATTTATCAGTTCATCAACATACCATCAACGAAGAACAGTTGTACCGATCGCTTCACAATGTCCGCATGCTGAACCACGATATGCACAAACAAGAAGACACTGTCATTGCTATCCAGTACTTAGATGATAATTCCGGCAGTGACGGTGATAATGGTGATTGTTCATAGATACATCCGTTGTTCATTAACGTTGTTTTGGTAGCAGGTGCTGAACAGGTCTCGTCACTTCATAACCAGACAGCATCTTCAATATATCTGTTCATTGGTAATCAAAACAGTTTAAGCCATACTATTCGGCGAGAACGGTTGATACATCGTATGACCAGATATGCAGTGCGGAAGTGCCGTCAAAGAGTCATTAGTAATAGCGGTAGATTAAACACCTTAAAAGCATACCATAACCCAGGTAAAGTGCCAAACAATCAGCCGTTGAATGTTCACACGAGTATCATTGAGTCCGCGTCATGATAACATCACGTTCGTGCCATTCCGTTACACGTCGACCAGGTCGCGAACACCTGAAGTTGGTCCCATAAGGTCATGGTATACGAAACACAAGATGCCGTTCAGACGTGTTCATCACGGCCTGCGACATTTGCGTACCTGTCGGAAGCGGTGGGGATAATGCTATCGAGTACCATATTGCGGCACAACGTCAGAACAACTACTGCAGCGCTGACCATTACTTATGCATTGCTGCCGCAACGGGGACACCGAAAGCAATTGTACCGCAAAGTATTGCAAGCCGCAATTCTGAGCAGTTTGCGCATTGCTGGTCTACACTTATCCGCCGTAAAAGAAGATTGGTCTATCAGGTATCATACGTTCCGACATACCTTGAATATTAAAGTTTAGGCTTATCGTTTCTTATTGCTTATTTCAGCAGTGCACCAAATTAAATCGCCAGGAAAGTAACTAAATGATGACATACGAAATGTTTACACTATTTAAAAGCATCGGTGTTCACCGTAAAACATTAAGAAACACCGTTCTTTCCGACAAAATATGTTTAACTGAAGAACAATTCAATGTTACCTGGTAAATGTCAGCACTGAAACCGTTCGGTTTCGGTGATTCACCATCGATGAGAATATCAACGGGTGCGTTCAAACTACCAACCACCGAGTAAAGCCACGTCGGGCGACATAAAGATACCATAACACGCCAGCGTTACAACAGGTTCGGTTTCACTTGCCGTCGAAAATACCATGCATTAACGTCCATGGCATTGATAGTTGATTTCACATGCATTTCCAGATGTAATTATATTGCACGACACATTATCGCAGCTTTATCATATGGCTTTGAGTAGCATACCGTATAACGGCGATGCCGCCCAGTGCGGGTACTTCCACCGAAAATAACGATATCATCGAAAGATATAGTAAAAATGATCATAAAGCCATAAACAAGTCATCATTCCCTATTGCAACGCAAAGAGGTTGCCGTTTTCAATGAATTTCTCCACGGCAGGACGGTGCGGTATTCAGCACAGTTCGTCATTTTCTCCGTAGTGGGCATCCAGTACCAGTGCGTAGTTACGTTTTCCGTCGTTATCTGCGTAGTATTCAGCCGATGCAGCAGTTGTTTTCCAGGCAGTTCTTCACGCAGGGCGTGGCATCTGCATTCGATGCAGCAGTTATGTTTTCACCGCCTTTGCATAGTGGGGTATAGGTATGCAGTACGATGTACAAAGTTACGTTTCAATGCCTTCATTAGCCAGTATTGTGGGTGCGGTATTCATAATATGCAGCGAAGTTCGTTCTCCTTGTTCATGCAGACAGCGGTATCCAGATTACGTAGCAGTTACGATTTTCAATGCCTTCCGGTTAGATAAGTATGGGTACAGTTTGTGAGCGAAAAGTTAAATGCCACGTTTTCTAAGCCATTCATACGACAGGAATTACGTCAATGCCTTTCAGGTATATGGCAATTAATGAAATTGACAGAATGCCTTTCAGTTAGTAGTGTTGCATTTCAGTACGCCGTATTGCCACTTACATGTATGGTTTCATTCAATGTACGGTTATCAGCAGTTACCTTTTCACTTCCGTTATAGATGGGTACAAAATACGTGAGAGCCTTTTCTCGATGCTCCGTGTTAGTATCTGCCGCTTCAGAATACCTTACTATTGCAAACCAGTACACGTACAGGTCACGTTTTCAATACCACGCAGTGGTCGTGGTATCCAGTTTCCACGAGTAAGCCGCGTTTCAGGTCGGTATAGCGGGTGTGGCATTCCGTAGTGCCGTGGGAAGTTACGTTTTCGTTTCCTTCAGTATAGTACCGCCGTACAGCTTTTGTTGCGGCTTCGTGAGCGTTTTGCCTTCAGGTATACGACCAGTGATGCATGAGTTACGTTCCTTCACCCTCTTCATGCAGATATAGTATATTCATCGTAAGTCGATACGTTTCGAAATGTCTTCCAGGCAGCGCAGTGCGGCATCGCTAACCGACGCATGTTACGTCAACACCCTCCGTGCCAGACGCAGTGCGGCATCCAGCACCAACATGACAAAACCACGCCTTCAACGCCCCGGCCGCAAACTGAGGGTGTGGTATTGTGCGCCAGTGAAGAAAACTACGCTCTTCACCTTCCAGGTAGAGGGTGACCCAAGTTACGCTTCAATGTCTTCCTGTGCATCCGTAGTGATGCGGGGAAGACAAGCACTTTCCAGGTAGGTATGGGTATCATAACAACGTAACGGTTACGTTTTGTGAATGTTCTTCTCTTATAGTGGCAGTCCAGCACTTCAAGCAAAATCGAGGCCTTTTGCTTTCTCCATTTTACATAGTGGGCATGGCATCTATTATCGAATCGGTTAAGTTACCTTTCCTCAATGTCTTCCTCTCCAGTTGATTATACGCGGTATCCAGTACTGATGCGCAACACGTCAACGCCTTCAGTTAAGTATATGGCATCCAGCACAGAACATTTTGCGAACCAAAGTACGCTCGTTTTCGTCTCTTCTTCCATGCCGTATAACCAGCACGTACCGTCGCCTTCCTTCGGCGTAGTCGTTAACCAGTGCCGATGTAACGTCTTTTCGCCATTGTAGCGCATCCGTGCTACCAGCGAAGTCGTCATTTTGCCGCATAAGGTTCAGCAATAATCGTTTGTAAAATCTTCAGGTAAGTTTATGAGTGCGCATCCAGAAGTTCGCTCCTCTCTACGTAGATATATAAATCTCCCACGCGGTCGAGCGCCTACGCTCTCAACACCTTCTCCAAGTAGGTGGTATTCAGTTCTAATGGTTACGTTTCAACGCTTCTTCCATATGTATAGAAGTTACGATTATCGTTTCCCTCCAGGTAAGTATAGGTGGCATACAGTTATCACTTCAGTTGCCAGGGTATGGCAAATTACGCTTGCGAATGCATTCAGCGACATCGCCGATTTGAGCAGTTGCTTCAGAATCTCCAAGTTATGGCATTATCCACGTCACCTGGTGTAGGGCATGTTATCGCGCGAAGCGAATGCTTTCTCCCGTTAAGAGCAGCCGATATATCCAGTACCAATGCGAGGAAATTACGTTTGTTCAAGTTTAATGAGCAGTACAGCAATACGTGTTAAAGTTCAATCAACGCCTTCCAGATTATATATACCAGTCCTGCTTCACCCTCCTTCTGGAAGGCGCAGGGTATCACCGATGCGAGCAAGTCACGCTTTCAGAACGCCGCACGCAATATCCCAAACTACCAGAAAGCCATTGCTCGCCAGGCGGCATCAGACGCGAGAAATCACGCCTTTTTTGCGAAGCCTTATCCGCAAGTAACTTCAGGATGGCCATACTACCGTACTTCATTCTCCAGGTAAGGGTATGGCATCATACCGATATTAAAGTCGCCAATGTTCGTAACTACCACGTGAGCAAGTCGTCAATGTCTCTACGTAGATAGTATTAATGGCAAGAAGTTAACTTCTTCAGCGGTGCTGCTATAGCGTTACCGATGCGTGCAGTCAACGTTTGCGAATGCCTCTCCAGTTGTGGCATTCCGCACCGATTAGAGAAATTACTTTCAATGCTCAACAGTCAGATGTGGTTGGTGTATATAGTACAGTATTAAATACTTCAATGCCTCAAGGCAAATAGTGGATGCCAGTCACGTTTTCAATGCCCTTCAGCAAGGCATAGCGAGTGGCATCCAGTACCACGTGCGGGAAAATTTGCACTTTCAGTGATGGTATCCAGTACCGTTAAGCAACGCTTCAATGCCTTCATAAGGTCATCAGCGCTTCCAGGTTTCTCTCAATACCTGTAGTACCGATGCGAAAGCAGTCACGCCACTCTCCAGTTTGTAGCGCAGCATTCAATATTAATAAAATAACGCCTCTTCTTACGTAGACATAGCGTATTAATCACGTTCCGCAGTTACATCATCGCCCTTCAGCCAGGTAATGGTGCGCATCTGGTACCGTATTAAAGCTTCAATGTCTTCCTGCAGTCATCGCGTCAGCAGCGTTACGTTTCAATGCCTTCGGTATAAGGGGAACCAGCGTTCACGCGGCTCAGTTTTCAATACCTTCTTCGGGTAGGCGTAGTGGCGTATATCAATACGATGGTTGAAGCCGTTTGCGAATGCTTTTCCGCATTGAATAAGGCATGCGTTCGATTAGTGAAATACTTCAATGCTCGTCATCAATAGATGCGGCGGTACCAGCACGGTTGTACCGTTTCAGAACGTCTTATACACGCAATTTTAGTGGATGTTAATTAATGCGTGAAGCCACGTTCTCAATACGGTAAGTGCAGGCGTGGCACAAGTACTGTTAGTTACGCTTCAATGCTCGTCTCCGTTTTCAAATGTAGTTGGCGTATATCACTGCGCACCATGCAGATATATGGCATCCAGCACTGCGTCATCTTTCAACGCTTCAGGCAGATATAGTACGCGCCGGTGATCAGTTAGTTTGCGCCGAGTTACATATTGGCCATATCCAATACCAGAATTACGCAGAATGTCGGGTGTCAATTACCGATGAATGCTTCGCTAATTTGCGGGTATGGTATTCAGCACCAGAAACAGTTAGACAAGTATCCAGCAATTACGCGAAGAAATTACGCCAATTTCTTCAAAGTTGCGTTGTGGGTGTGGTTAATGCGTGGAAATACCAGAATTCCTTTCGGGTAAGTCGCTATCATTCCGATGTATAATAATGCCTTCATGCAGATATATGCGGCATTCAGCATCAGGTTTACGCTCTTCCGTCACTCCTCCTCCCCAGGTAAGTGTAGGGTGGTTCAGTACCACGCGCACGAATTACGCCAATGCCTTCCGCAACTTAGTGCACGCACCGATACCTTCTCCAGTTACAGTAGCGGGAGCGGCATCTAATAATGCAGTTCAATGCCTTCGTTCATGCAGATATAGTGAAGCATGGTATTCAAGCACTAAACAAAGCAGTTCAATGCCTCAGGGCATAAGTAGCTGCAATACGCATAGGTTATTAATGCCTTCCGGCACACGTATAGCGTTACCTTTCAATGCCTTCATGTTCATAGTTATCCGTACCGATGAGCGCCTTTCAAAAGCCTTCTGCAGGTATTGGTGGTCTACCGATGCGTTCACGCCTTCTCGGCAGGCGTGGCATCAGCAATGATGCGCGCAAATATCTCGCAGTGGGTGTGGCATCCATACGACATGAGCATCATTGCTCATCGTTCGTTCTCAGCAGTAATGAGCGCGGCATTCAGTACTGATGTATAGCTTGGTCAGATATGGTGAGCCGTTTCAATGCCTTCATGCAGATAGTATGTGGTATCCGCAGATCACTTCGCCTCTGCGTTTAGTGGGCGGTGTACCGATGCAACTTCAATGCCTTTCATGAAGCGCAGCCTGCAATACCGCTTCAGGTTGCCTTCGTCGCTCCTTCTGGTAGTTGCGGTATCAAGTACCGATGCGTAAAGCTACGCTTTCAATGCCCGCGAAGATATAAGGGGCGTGGCATACGCAGCGAACATGCCACGTTCTCGCGATTTGGCGTGGCATCCGTACCGATGAGCAACGCTAATGCCTTCTGGCGGTATTAGTGGGCGTCTATCAGCAGGCCAGCGTTTTCCAAACAATTTTCCTTCCAGGCAGTTTAGTGGGCGTGGCATCGGGTAATGATGGTGTTAATGCCTTCAATGATGTAGGCAGTACGATGCGAAAGAATTGCCTTTTCACGGCGCTTCAAGATAAAATAGTGGTGTATTCATACCGATGAGAACAAGTTACCGCCTTCATGCAGATATATACCAGCAGGTTTGCTTTCAAATACCTTCAGGCGTGGTGCCGCTCGATGTGAGCAAATCACGCTTCAATGCCTTCTCCGCGTGTTTCAAGTGGCGTGGTTTCCGCAGCCGATGCGAGCTGCCAAGTTTCCCCGTCGCCTTTCTCTTACGTAGACAGGCGGGCGCGTATTCAGCCATGCGTCGCTTTCAAACCCTCCTTTGTGTACCGCTGTTGCCGCAGGTCAGCACGATGAAAGAAGCTTCAATGCCCACTGATGTGGTCGGGCGTGGTATCCAGTACTATTGCAAAATTGGCGTTTTTCAATGCCTGCGTTTAGTGGGTGGTACGCTGCGCAGTTACGCCAATGCCTTTCATGCAGATATAAGCATGGCATAAAGATATATGTTCCGTTTCATCAATACCGCTTCAGTAGTCGTTTGCGGAGGGTATTCAGTGCCAGTAACGCTTCAATGTCTTTCATAGTCATACCTGTCAGGTTTTCTCTCAATACCTTCCTCTGCAGGCGGCATCAGCGTGGCGTTACGCTTCGCTTCCTCAGTTGGCGTGGTATTCAGCAAGAAATTGCTCAATGCTCATGCAATTTGCAGAGCAAAGTTACGCCAATACGCCAGACAGTGCGTTGCATGCCATCGCTTCAACACCTTCTGGCAGTAGCGGTGGCATCAGCGCGTGCTTCAATGCCCGCGTTCAGCGGGCGTGGCATCTGGTACGATGAGCAGTTACGTTTCGAATGCCTTCTTATGCAGATAACAATAATAATAATAATAATAATAATAATAAGAGTACTTATATTCATCATCGCATTTTGCCGCCATAACGATATACCAGTTCTGCGTGCCGACGTCACAGACATTTCGAAGAGCTTCGGGATCCGTTAGGTTTTAAGATCCGATCATGTTGTTATGCATTCATCGCGCGTTTTCGAGTTTGCATCAGAACAACCAGCAAGAGCCGATCGCATTTGTTTATAGATCGTCGCGCCAGTCATCGTCTTCGAGGCAGCCGAATCGGGTCGTTGCGAACACACGATAAACAAGTTGAAAGTCCTTCCGTCGATCGCGAATTGAGAGTCGATTATATATAATCCGCATATGAATATTCGATCTTTATTTTCGCGCCGTATCGAATCATCGTATACGAGTAAGAACCAGTTATCGTCAACACGGTTAAGATGTCATGGAAATCAATATTCGAAGATGAAAGCTTTTATATTTCAGTATTAGGCGGTCGATACTACAGACAAGTGCTCGACCAAATAAATCAACATTTTCATTGAAGGGAAGATATCGAGATCAAAACCAACGGAAACGTCAATATTTTCATCAACGAAGATGATGCGGCATCCAGCAACAATGCAAAACAATAAACAAATTTCCAGTGCGGGCATAGCGTATCAGCGTCTTCCGGCCCTCCTCCAATCAGAGGAAGTGGCGTATATCCA